CCCCTTGAGTGCATAGCTCCTGTGGGGTTGTTGAGTTTTCTTTGAAGTGTTGGAAGTCACAGTCATTAGTAAAGAGATTCAGGTGACTCCGGATTAGCTGGAAGAAACATGGGACAGGAACACACATCCAGCACTGCAAAATTAACCTGATCCTGTGAGCCCTGGCCCCAAGCCTCGCTGAGATGTGGGGCTAGGGCGAGCGGTAGGTTGCCCTTAGCCTCGTCCTTCTTGGCTTCTGGGCCCCTAGCAGGGTGCGTAGCTATTGGAGACACTTTGGACTGGAGAAGCTCACACCCCTCTCACTGTTGTCCTTTCATATGGAAGTTTTGCCTTCACTCTGGCAGTCTAAAATGCAGTTAAAGGAGTGTTTATAGACAGCGTGAACTAGCTCAGCATCAGCAGGCCACAGTCCGGGGAGAGGCAGCGGAGTTACTGCTCTGGACCATGAGCGATATCCCTGCCTCAAGTTCTGCAGAGTTCCAAAAAGTCAGTTTTGTATCTCCAGTGAAGTAGGGGTTTTTAACTTTTAGAAAAGGTAGGGGTTTTTAACTTTCTTTTCCCACACGGTGACACTCAACACTGGAGTTAGATTAGGCCTGTCCTTATCAGGTCCCCGATCCCGAACCCCAGCCGTACAGCAGACAGAGCCTGCCTCATCCTGTAGATGGGGAGCCGAGGTTCCCGCGGTCCCTCAGGGAGCCTGAGTACAGCCGGTTCATTTTCGCAAGGAGTTTTACAGGCTGTGTCTTACAGGCTGTGTTGAAAATGCCATCCAAATTCAGGGCCTTTCTCAATATCTGCCTAAAGTAAACAGCCCAATTTAATACATTAAGAAAATCTCCTTTTTAAAATTAATTAATTAATTAATTTATTTTTGGGTACCGGGAATCGAACTCGGGACCTTGTGCTTGCCAGGCAGGCGCTTGTACCGCTGAGCTATATTCCCGGCCCAATCTCCTTTTAAAGTACATTTGAAAACTTTTTTCCAGATAACCTCTTTGTGCCCAACCACAACGGCTATTATTGTCACTCCCAGACAAGTTTGGATAGAGCCCAGATGGACGTCAGCGGCCGAATGCGGAACGGCAGCGTCTACAGCGCGCACAGCACCACCTCCCTGAACAACCCGCAGCCCTACCTGCAGCCCTCCCCCATGTCCTCCAACCCGAGCATCACCGGGAGTGACGTCATGAGGCCCGACTACGTCCCCTCGCATCGCCACAGCGCCCTGATCCCCCCTTCCTACCGGCCGACCCCAGACTACGAGACTGTGATGAAGCAGCTCAACAGAGGCATGGCGCACGCGGAGAGGCAGAGCCACTCGCTGAGAAACCTCAACATCGGCAACTCCTACGCGTACAGCAGGCCCGACGCGCTGGTCTACAGCCAGCCCGAGATCCGCGAGCACGCGCACTTCGCCTCCCCGCAGTCGGCGCACTACGCCTTCAACCTGAACTACAGTTTCCACAGCCAGTCTCCCTACCCCTACCCGGCCGAGCGGCGGCCGGTGGTGGGCGCGGTCAGCGTGCCCGAGCTGACCAACGTGCAGCAGCTGCAGGCCCAGGACTACCCGGCGCCCAACATCATGCGCACGCAGGTGTACCGCCCGCCGCCGCCCTACCCCCACCCCTACCCGCGGCCGGCCAACAGCACCCCGGACCTGTCCCGCCACCTGTACATCAGCAGCAGCAACCCGGACCTGATCACGCGGCGCGTGCACCACTCGGTGCAGACCTTCCAGGAGGACAGCCTGCCCGTGGCGCACTCGCTGCAGGAGGTCAGCGAGCCGCTCACCGCCGCGCGCCGCGCGCAGCTGCAGAAGCGCAACAGCATCGAGCTGGCGGGGCTGGCGCACGGCCTGGACGGGCTGCGGCTCAAGGAGCGCACGCTGTCGGCCTCGGCTGCGGACGCGGCCCCGGGGGCCCCCGCCGCGTGCGCGCTCCTGGCCGGGGCCCAGCCCAGCGTCTGCGGTGGCGACAGGGCCCAGCAGGACGAGGCCGAGGAGCCCGACGGTGGCGGGAGGTACGGCCACAAGAAGTCTCTTTCGGACGCCACCATGCTGATCCACAGCAGTGAGGAGGAGGAGGAGGAGGAAGAGGAGGAGTTTGAGGAGGACCCCAAAGTGCCAGCCTTGCTCACCGCGCAGCCCCAGCCCCGGCTAATGGGCGCCTACGCCCAGGAGCTGCCCCAGCGCAGCCACCCCTGTGCCGCCGTTGCCTCCGGCCCTTTGCACATTCTCGAGCCCAAGGCCCACCTCCCCGAGGCCGAGAAGAGGGCGAGGGATGGGAACCCTGCCCATGTGATTGTGGAAGCACAGCACCCCCGAAGAGAGGGGCTGCTGACGCCCTCCATGTCCGAGTCCGACCTCACCACGTCGGGGCGATACCGGGCCAGGAGGGACTCTCTGAAGAAGAGGCCGGTGTCAGACCTGCTCTCCGGGAAGAAGAACATCGTGGAAGGGCTCCCGCCACTGGGGGTAAGTGTCCCTGCAGCAGCAGGGTGCCGCCAGCGCCCGGACCAGAGCTCCCCCTAGCCTGTCCTGTGTGTCCCTCCTTTCGCCTTTGTTGCTTCTGATGTTTCTCAGCTTTTTTCTTTTTTAACATTTGTTTAACATTTTTCATCCTATTTCCTTGTATGGTGCCTTTGTTATCTTACTTTGTGAACACATTTAAGTTTCTATATGGAAATTATAGGGGGCTGATTAGAACTTCAGTAGTTTTGCCAGAAATGATAAATCGAATGCAAATGTTCTGTGCGACTGCATGGGAAGACGGAATGTTGCAGTAATGCCGTGTTAAGGAAAAGAGTTGATGACTTCAGCCAAGATGCGCGAGCTGACCACTCATTAAAAACACTGTGTGGTGATGCAGCGCGGGGCTGGGTTTGTTCCGTTTGCTGCAGTGACGTCTGCAGCATCCAAGGCAGCTTTCCCAATTGTGTGAATTTTTAAGGCCAGGGCCTCTGGATGTAGCTTGAATATCTTAGCCATGAGCTCTGAGGAATGGAGAGTGATTCTGGGTGGGGAAGGTGGCACTTCATGAAAGCAGAACCCACAGAGCTCCTGGTCCCTTTTAAAAGAAAGATTAAGTAAACTAAGAGTTCAAGGAAAGCCCCTTGTAGAAATAGCAGCTCTTTACTGTTTGGTATATAAATAAAAATGAAGCACTTCTTACTTATTTGAAACAGAATGTGAAAGGGCCTGATGACATCGTGTCTAGTTGCTGTTTTCAAACCATTTACCATGTACTGATTGCTTCCCCTACTTTGCTGTGTCCGATTTACAAGAAGCCTATTGTTATGCCCAGTTTGCAAATAAAGAAATAGACCCCGAGATAGGAAGTAACTTTCCCAAGGTCGCACAACTAGCGAGCGCCTGAGCTGGCTTGTGATCTCTGTAGTTGATTCTGCTCCGCGCTGCGGTGCATGAAGGTGCAGTGCACTGTATATGATCTTTTACTAAGTAGCAGTTGCTTGCTGAAGCCTCTCTTTCTGTTTGGCTGAAGCTTGTTGGCTTCTGGACCTTTGGCTAAGAATCTGTGGTCCTGTCCTGAAGCCTGTCCACTCCCAGTCATCTTACTGCATTGAGCCAGGGCCGGCTCGTCCCAGCCCACACTTTGTCTCCCTGGCCAGGAGGAGGACTCTCTCCTGCCGGTCTCTGCTAGTCAGCGTGCTCAGACCTGCCGGACCATTTCCCGTCTGCTTCTGGCCTAGTTAGGAGGTGCTTGGAGGTGCAGCATCATCTTGATAGGCAAGAAAAACTCACACAATATTAAAACATCTTGATGGGCAGGAAAAAGCTCGCACAATATCATAGTACTTATGAAATGGAGCACTGTACGTAGACAGAAACCACTTACGAAACTGCCATGGATTTTTTTTTTTTCCAACTTGCAGGTTTTTTTGAATACCCGGTTGCTGTAGTGCGTTCCTTGTGGGCAGTTGGCACACGTACATAGCCCGTCTTTATTCTGTTCCATCCCTTTCCTCTCTTCTCTCGGCCCTTCTCCTTCTCCCCTGGCTCCCTCTCTTGGTCCCCTTCCCTTTTGCAGAAGATGTTTCCCTGTTTGCTATGATCTGCCTGTTATATTGCTCTGTGTTTATAGTTTGGGTTTCTCATATAAGAGAAATGCTTTTTTTAAAACCCAAGTTAGGGTTTGCGTTTCCTTTTTAACTTTTCCTGAGGGTAACTCTTTAACTGAATAGTACAAACCGGTGCCTCAGGTGGACCAAGGTCAAGGATGCAGGCTGAGGAGCCAGTTAGGGTGGGAACAGGGCGTGGGGCTTACAGAGTTACTCTGCCTGGGTACTTGGGCGGCGGGACAGGGTCTTATATTCTGTGAAGAACTGGCCACTGTCTTGATGTGTGGCCCAAGTACTTCTTCCCAATGATAATGGTTCTAAGTACGCCCAGTATTTTATCCCTCTATGTTTTGAAGGGGGCTTGGCAAGTTCAGGTGAATCTGAAGACTGATCAGTTTGATTCTCTTTAAATTTCTCTCTCACTAACTTTTAAGATCTATGATGTTAATAAAATCATGTACTTGGATTATTGTATTCTGGCTCCCTTCTTTGTACATAAAAACATTTTTTCAATATAGCAGCTTCGGTCAAGGGGAAGAGTAAAGTCCTAAGAGTTAAAAGCCTTGGGTCTCCGTCTGGGTTCTGCCATTTATTAATTTTCTACTCATGGCCAGAACCCTTCATGCATTAAACCTCAGCTTCCGCGTCTGCAATCTGAGGACAGTCACCTCTGCTCTGCCCTCTTGCCCTGTAGCATGAAGTCCCACATGAGGTTAGGCGTGGAAAAGTTAACTTTCTTATTTAAATGACTTAGCATAAGTTTTTGTATGGGGAGATTTTTGTTGATTGTTTTGACACATTCTTGTATAAAAAGAAGGCAGTTTTGTGACTTTGAGGAAACTTCTTAGTCTCCCCGTGACTCAGGTGTCTCATTTGTGAATAAAAGGACGCCAGAAAGTTGCTAGAGAAATAGAACGAGGTCCTGTGGCAGCAAAAGCGCCAGCCAGTGTGACCTGATCAGGTTGCATCATATGCTTCACTCACGGACTTCCCAAGACTTCAGAACCAACCCCTGGCTAAATCTGGGATCCCTGCACGGTAACACACGGCTGCCGTAATTTAAACATACTGATGTGAATTAAAGTTAAAGAGGTTCAGTATTAAAAATGGGAGATGGATTGCAGATAAGAAGGAACGGACCAGAATTCTCTGCCCATCCCTCTACTCCATGGGCTTCCTTGCTATCTCAAAGGCAGACTGATTTGGGTGCTCCTACATCTACATAAAGACTTTCTCCCCGATGTGCCCTGTAGCCTTGTGCTGTGGCTTACCCAGAAGACGTAACCGTGCAGGCTGTGCATTTAAAACCATGTACTTGTACCCTAAGTACTCACAAAGGGGTTTTCCCAGCTTGTTCTGACTTTTTCCACTGACTGACCTGTGAACTGACCTGATAGCCACTCGCCTTTATCCAGCGTGTCAGCGTGGGGTGTTGCGAGTCATTTTCAGGCAGCTGAGTGCTGGAGTGAGCGTATGCGGGCTGGCAGGAGCTGACTGTTACATTTTCAGGAATCTTGCTAGCCAGCTGATGGCACATTGGCAGTTTGCAGTGGGCTGTGATGGAAGTATTTACACCATGAAAACTGACAAATGTGACTGAGAACTTTTTCCTGCAGAAGCCAGCTGTTTAACATGGCCAGCACACCACTGTGTTTTGTGTACATTATAATCATGAAATTTTAGCCAAATCAGGACCTTTAAGTTGTATGTCTCTGTGGATCTCTCTGTTTCTATCTAGATGAGACTTAGATGAGAAGGTGACTTCTGTAAAGGATACTAGAGGCTGGAGTTCAACCCAGGATTCTACCAATTCCTAGTCCAGATTTCATGTGGGAAGCTCATGATAAAATGTGAATCATAAAATTAAAGGTTATTGCAGTTAACTTTTTGAGTTAGGTACCAGTCAAAATCTCCAATAACAGTAGCAACCTTACTGCTTTTTTTGTTGGTAACCTCAACAAAATACTGCTGGGTGCGGTGGCACATGCCTGTAATCCCAGCATTCGGGAGGCTGAGGCAGGAGGATCGTTGCAAATTCAAGGTCAGCCTGGGCTACAAAGTGAGTTCAAGAGCTGCCTGAACTGCATAGTGAGACCCTGTCTCAAAAAGACAAAAACAAACAAACAAAACGCCTTTCTTTTTTTGAAATCTCTATTTTATTGATCCTGGAGTTTTGTGGCTTTTGGTGTGCATATAGAACTTGAGTAAAACTGAGAACAAAGAAAACCATTTCTTTGAAATTGAGCTATTCATTATAATATTAGGGCTTCCAAGGAGGTATAGAACATCTAAGGAGACTTAGTATTCTTAGACTTGTTTGCTATAGAGAAGAAAATCATTAGGTTTAATAATAACTATAGCAGATGCTGTGATATTTAAGTTTGTGTGTCTGATTTATTTCATGTGACGTTATGTGCTCAAGTTGCTTTATTTTTTTCATAGATGTGAGAATAGTTTTTAAAATATTTATTAATATCTGCTTATGTTAAAATTTTTTTTTTGCTTTTGTAGAGTACTTTTTGTTCTGAGGGGCATGTGATTGACTCCCTGTCAATCAACTTTATTGTCAAACAGAAATCCCTAACTTTAGGAAACATTAGTTTGCAAAAGACAGAATTCTGTTGGTGCTCTCTTATGCATGCTGTCCTTTTTTTTTTTTTCCGGTACCGGGAATTGAACTTATGACCTCGCGCTTGCCAGGCAGGCGCTGTGCCGCTGAGTTAAATCCCCAGCCCTGCATGCTGTGCTCTTGATGGAGATTTCAGCCCTGTTTTATTTTCCTGACTTACAAATGCGGCCATTCTGAGGAGCGTAATGAGCCAACCCAAACCACCCAATTCTGCCGTAAAATGTTGAACAGTGTGGAAAGGCAATGCTCAAAATGAGCTGCCACAGAAAGCATTTAATTTTAAAGAAAGTTTTATATCCTTATATTTTAGAAATATTTAGAAAAAACATACTAGAATGAAATGATCATATTTTAAAGTCGTCTTTGTGGACTGCAGCTGCTTTTGTGTGTCATGTTTTGAAATTTGGGAGTTCTGTGAAGGAATGCTGCCTGCCTGGAGCCTCACCTTTCATTGCATCAGAGCCTTGTAACCAAGTGAGTTTCAAAACCTTCTATCTGGAAGACTTATCAGCGCTTTGGCCTTGAAAGGAATGCCTTTCTCCTAATGTTTATTAAACAAGTGATGCGCAGAGCAGTGGAGTCTGTCTTGTGGTGCTTGGCAAAGGAGGACACTTTTTGTTTCCAGTCTTTAGCCCACTGAAATTTCTTTTGAAAGGATCGCGTCTGTGTGCATTTCATATATACATGTAGATATTTTCACAGGGAATGAAAAAGACTCGAGTAGATGCAAAAAAAGTCGGCCCTCTTAAGTTGGCTGCCCTCAATGGACTCTCCCTGTCTCGACTGCCTCTGCCCGATGAAGGGAAGGAAGTGTCCACCAGAGCGACGAATGATGAGAGGGTATGTATGTGAGGGGCACCCTGGCTTTGCGGCTTTTCAGGGACAGTTAGTAGACACTACAAAAATGTCTTTATGAGGATTTAGTGACTTTTCTAGCAAACTGTAATAATCAGGAATGAATATTAAGGAATTTTATAATCTGAGCCACAGAATGGGAGCGCATGTTTAGCTAATGTCTTAATAATTTCAGGCGTGGATGTTTATTTCTTGTTTCTTTATGTTCTTTTTTGTCTTCTGCTGGCTGCTTGGGGCAGTCTTGGTTTATGATGGCCTTCAAGTGAATGTATGTAAATGTGTATGTATACACAGAAGAAGGAACACAGACACTGACTGTTGTGTCATATCGAAAATTTATCTTGAGAGTAGTTACCAGAGTTTTCAGAACATTTTTGTGAGTAAGGTATATTTTCAGTTCAGTTTTATTATACAAGTCAGATAGCGTGAATTTCTTTACAACTCGATCTAGAGGTAGCTCCCAGTTTACTACTGTTTACAGTACTTGATATGTATCATTTATTACAAAATGGAATTTTTATAGATGTTAGAAATGGTTATCCTACTCTGAAGCATACAGTACTGCTCACCTGCAGAATCTCTTTCTTAAGGGTCACAAAATGAACATTGACCTAGAGAAAAAAAATTCAACAAATTACTTCAGGCCAGTTTATAACTTTAAACAGAATTTTGCTTTATATGTCTTACCAACAAAGTTACAATATTTGTTCTTTCAACTCTCGTTATGGCTTGCTAAAATTTTAACTTTTGTTTCATGTAGAATTTTCAGTATTAGACAATGCTGGATTTGAAGCAGAGGACAAGATTTTAAATGTATAGTCAAAATACAGCACTGGGGCTGGGGATTTAGCTCAGCGGCAAAAGCACCTGCCTGGCAAGTGCAAGGTCGTGAGTTCGGTTCCCGGTACCAGAGAAACCCCCCCCCCCAAAAAAAAAAATACAGCACTGACATAACTATATTCATTGTATTCCACATATTCTGTTTTATAGTGTAAAGTGCTGGAACAGCGGTTAGAACAGGGAATGGTATTCACAGAATATGAAAGAATTCTTAAAAAACGGCTAGTTGACGGGGAGTGCACGACAGCCCGACTCCCTGAAAACGCAGAAAGAAATAGATTCCAAGATGTCCTTCCCTATGATGACGCGAGAGTGGAGTTGGTCCCCACCAAGGAGAACAATACTGGCTACATCAACGCATCACATATTAAGGTGAGGGCCCCATGCAGCACAGTAAATAGCACGTGCAGTTTGGGGTAAGAATTGTATTCTTATCTGTGTTCTGCAAACACCCCAGTTAAACCATTGTGACAACTATACTAGAATCTGGAGACTCCAAACTTTAGCACCACGTAAAGTGTTTGTCAGACAGAGGCAGACACCTGTCCATGTCTCCATATGGAAAACCACCCTGGCCCGACACTGTCACCAGGACTTAGGGAGCACTTTATTTAGAACTTCATTCTTCTAAATCTGAAGGCCTCCTTCTAGCTCCTAAATTCTTTTTGGCTTCACATGTGACAGGGAATAAAAAGGGCTGGAGTGGACGCAGAGAAGTTCTTATGGGAGATGCTGAACTGCTGGTGTTTCCTCTTCACATACCCGCCAGTGCTTTTCTGTAACGAAGACATCTGGGCTCTTTGATGGTGCTCACAAAAGCTTTCATTTCTGAACGTGCCACCTGTTCCCTTTGCCTCCTCTCTGTGATCATTTTTAAATATCACTTTGTTCTTTGAGGGACTTCCTTTTCCCTAGAAGCAGTCTGATGCCATTTATCTGGGGTAATGTGACCTTCATTGAAATAGAAAAGGGGATTGTTCACAACAGGTGGCTGAATAAAGCCAGATGTTCGGTCTTCATCATGTCCCTTCGTTCTTGCCAGTTAGACTGGCTTCTTTACTTTGGAAAGAAGAACTCTCCGTCTGGGGGGCAAATACGGAAGTGTCGATGATTTAGTGTTGATTTTCTTCATTCCCACGTTTTCTTCAGCTTGCAACTCCTGCTTGATAAGAGAGCCGCCTGCAACCTGAGGCTTTCTCAAGACCAGACAATCTCTGTGTGCTTGCTAGTACCCCTCAGCGGGTTTGCAGAATCTATGCATGTACTGTTCTGTCTTCTTTATGTTTGGATATCAGCCAAACATTTGACTGAATAGATAACAATGGAATAATGCTGAGGCTCTGTAGTGATATTAGCGGCCACCTGAAGAATCAAGGGAAGGATGAGTTTCAGAGTTGGATGGAGACAGTGCCTAGATACCTCACTCCCCAGCTGTGAGACCTCAGTTGGCTCGTCCTTTAGTAAACAATCATAATACCTTTACCGCCATAGGTTTTGACTGTCGTATAACCTGCACAGCCACCTGTCTGCCACCCGAGGGTATTCAGTGGGAGGATGTGCAGTTGGACTGGGGCTGGCAGTGGTAGATGAGAGCATGTGGGGAACAGGGATTGCATAGGGCTTGAGGTTTAATAGACACTCAGAATATAGTTATTGTCTTCACTACATGTCAGTGAAGTCGAAATTTAAGCCAGGCTTCTAAACTGCATATTCAGTCATTACCTTGTTGTGTTAGACTGTCCCCCAAGGATGTTAAGTCTTACCTGAAAACTTGTACATTACAGAAAGTTGTCTTGACTTAGAAGTTCACAGGTGTGCCGGGGGTGGTAACATGCATCTGTAATCCCAGCACCTGGGAAGCTGAGGCAGGAGCATCGTGGTGAGCTTAAGGCCAGTCTAAGCTATAGAGTGAGTCTAGGCCAGCCTGAACTACATAGCAAGACCTGTCTCAAAAAAAAAAGTTCAGAAGTGAGGCCATCTTGAGTAGGAAGACTTCTTTTTCCCTAAAGATCTGAGGTTTAACTGAGGGTTTGGCTTTAATTGTCAACCCCTTTTCTGTCATATTTACTACTTCATGGAGGGAATTGTGTTTGAAATTTGGGGTACTGTAAAGTCTATATTACTTTCATAAGAGGAACCATCACAGCAATAAAGAGGTGCTTGTTATGTGCCAGGAACCATATATATCAACTCCGTCTTCATGACAACTCTATGAGGGTAGGCAATATTTACATTTTATAGAGAAGAACTGAGACTTGGGGTTGTTCGATTGTCCTAGGTCACATAGGTGTTACGTGAATTCACAGTATACAATACATAAGAATGTCAATAGTGGATATAATATTGGCAAGGAAAAGATGAAGATTTAAACCTGTTCTAAACTGTTTGAGGCCTTATAAATATTTGTTTCACATCTAGATTGTATAAGGATATTGGCTGTGATGAGACTCACTGCATTATTTTTTTCAGTAGCGAACTTTATAAAACCCTCATCCCAATCAACAAGCATGTGTTAAAAGAGCATTGTCTTTGGTGTTAATGGGGGAATGTGTTCCTTCATTGTATTTGGGCCAGCCGGGCGTGGTGGTGCACGCCTGTAATCCCAGCACTTGGGAGGCTGAGGCAGGAGGATCATTGTGAGTTCGAGGCCAGCCTGGGCTATGAAGTGAGCTCAAGATAAGCCTGAACTGCATAGTGAGACCTTGCCTCAAAAAACACAACAAAATAAAGCAAAAAAACAAAACAAAACAAAACATTGTATTTGGGCCTTTTGTGTCCATACTTCTGATACTAAATTATTGAAGTATGTGCCTTGAAAAAAAAAATTTAAGCCTGTTCTTACTCTGCTATATAATCCATTTCACTTTTTTTAGTACTACCACAACCACATACACAGATTCACACATATATTCTACACACAGAGACACACAGACACAGCGTGATTTTTTTAACCTTTTCTAATTCCAGGTCTCTGTCGGTGGAATTGAGTGGGATTATATTGCCACGCAGGGACCATTACAAAATACCTGTCAGGATTTTTGGCAGATGGTGTGGGAACAGGGAATTTCAATTATAGCGATGGTGACAGCAGAAGAGGTAAGTGCTTGTTTCTGTCAGCTGATTTTCTCAGCCTCCGAAGAACGGTTCATGTTAATCACATAGAATACTGACCTTTGGAGCAAAGGCAGGGTGGGGTTCTGAGTGGTTCTGAGTTTCGGATTCGCCGCCCGTGAGTGGATCACCTGCTGTTATTGAACCATGCTTGTCTTTCACAGGAGGGTGGAAGGGAGAAGAGCTTTAGGTACTGGCCACGACTTGGTTCCAGACACAACACCGTCACCTATGGGAGGTTTAAGATCACAACCCGCTTCCGCACGGACTCCGGCTGCTATGCCACCACGGGCTTGAAGATGAAGCATCTTCTCACGGGGCAGGAGAGGACAGTTTGGCATCTCCAGTACACAGACTGGCCTGAGCACGGCTGTCCCGAGGACCTCAAGGGCTTTCTGTGTAAGTGTCTTCCTTTCCAGGACAGCCTCCTCCGGCCAGAGAAGACTTTGTTTCTCAAATACTTCTTGTTGTTCATATAAACTTTAGACTTGCTTTAAAATAAAGACTATCAATGCTTTCGAGGGGCTTTCCAGGGGACATTTTAAAGATACAGTTTGACAGCAAGTGTAGCGTCCCCACCAACCCTCAGAGTGTGTCCCTGCAGGCCATTTTGGGGATGAGAAAGTAGAGGCCAGGTAGAGGTGCCACCACCACAGTCAGTGGCTAGGATGGATTGCCTGGCACCCAGAGCTCTTATGTGCAGTTCTCTCAATCAATGGAAAAAATACGAAAATTTTTTTTTTGTTTTGGTTTTTTCCGGTCCCGGGAATCGAACTCATGACGTCGTGCTTGCCAGTCAGGTGCTGTGCCACTGAGCTAAATCCCCAGCCAAAAATACAAAAATTGAGTTGTCCATCTGATATGCTGTAATTTTTCTATTTCATTGATTTTTCACAGCATACCTCGAAGAGATCCAGTCTGTTCGGCGCCATACAAATAGTACAAGTGAACCCAAAAGCCTCAACCCCCCGCTGCTGGTCCACTGCAGTGCCGGGGTCGGAAGAACTGGTGTGGTCATTCTGTCAGAGATCATGATCGCCTGTCTGGAACACAATGAGGTGGTGACTTCTGTGTTAAGTCTGACCTTTTTTGGTGGGGAGAATAACGGGCTGGTAAGGAATGGGACATAGTCACCTACAAGCTCTTTGGGACACATTTCTTGGGTCTGTGGTGGCTACAGAGTGTTATTGTGTTTCCTGCAAAAGATGATGTCTTCTTGGAGATTTTCAGTCGCTATTGGCATATGAAGGACTTGAGACCTCATACAGTAAATAAGACTGTTTTTCACGTGTGAGCTCAGAACTCTTTTTCCTGGAATACCTTTCAGGTATTGTTTCAGGGATGATTGGTGTGGGCTGCTATCTCTGTGGGAAATGCTGAGCTAGACTCCGATAGTACTTAGCAGGTGAGTTTCTATTGAATCTTGGTGTATCTGGCGAGAAAAGGAAATTTATACAGAATCAAAGTCAGAGAGCTACACTCAGGAAATGCTGAAGAAACAATCTGCATGGATGTTCTGTTCATGTCTTAAAGACACCAGCAGTCACGGGTTATAGCAGGTTCTAAGGTACACAGAGACTGTCGTCTCCTAACCGGATTTTTGCTAGGGCACCTGATCTCCATCAGCCTTTTTCTCCCCTGGGGAGAGCATTGCCCTCATCACTGTTTTTCTCCCCCTAGGTGCTGGACATCCCGAGAGTGCTGGACATGCTCAGGCGGCAGAGAATGATGCTGGTCCAGACCCTCTGCCAGTACACGTTTGTGTACAAAGTGCTCATTCAGTTCCTGAAAAGCTCCAGGCTCATCTAAACTCCCACATCTTCCTATGGGGACCCAATCGTATGAAGCATTAACAGCTTAAAAAAAAAAAAGTGCTCGCCTAACTTACACTTCTCCTCGATACTTGATCACACCAGAAATCCATCGGGACAGGAATGGTGCGGTATGAGTCGCAGCGCACTGGAGGAAATGTACCAAGCACAAGGCTGAAGCGGGGGGATCTGGGACCTGGTGAAGGTGCTGGAGGTGGAGGACTCGGTTTCAAGGGCATTGTCCTGCCTGCGTCTGTCCAATTTGCAGCACTTGCACACACATTTTGGAGATTGTATTTTCTAGACAATTCTATTGTGCTGAAGCTGTGCTGGACAATTCTGGCAATCATTAAAGCCTATAGGTTTCTATCCTAAGCTAGTTTTTGATGATGGAATTTTATGTTATGACTAAAATATTTAGGGGTTTTCTTAGTGACAAAGTGAACTTTCTGTGGGGATGATCCGCAGATTGAGTTATTCGTGTATAGTGTTGTGTTTAAAACCATGTTATTATCTTTTGTTATTTTAAAAAAAAAACAACTTTGGGTACTCGATGGTTTAGGTATCAAGCTGAAACTATAAGAAGAATCTGAAAGTATTATTTTGAAACATAGAAAGCATTTTTATATTCAGAAATTTTTTTATCCTAAAAATTCTATGTATTTGTACCTTCTATATTTTCCAAACAGAGCTCAACTCATGAAGATACCGAATTGAGTCAGTTAATGTAAATAAAAGTCGGGAACGAAGGCACAGTTGTTTAAAATGCAAGAAGATCAGATTCACTGTTTTTTCAGTATTATTCGTAAGCCTGAATGAGTTTGCTTTTACTGGTTGAAAATGAGGTGAAAAACAATTGCATAGGATGGTTTTAAGCACTTTCTCCGTTAAAAACAAAACCTGAGTTTTAATGTATGTTTTGCTTTATTTGAGACAAGAACAGTGGAAACTGGGGTGTGTCTTGTGGAGGAGGACAAGGGTACGTGGGACGATGAGGACTGGGAAGTAGTGTGTGACGGCACAGCAGGAAGCCTTTGTCTTCACAGAAATGCAGTATTAGAGACACCAGGATGGAGAGCGGGGCTTGAGGGTACGGGGCCAAGCCCAGGGCTTATCCCAGGAACTCAGGGCCTCCCACTGTCAATGACTCTGTTTTCTTGCGGTTCTTCCTCTGAAGCCTGCATTTTTCCCCCCACAAATGGAGGTTTATATTACCATTCAAAGAAGCCTTGAAGAGGCTTTATTTTATTTTGATTGAAAGAAGGGAATAGTAAATAGTTTCAACTCTTCTTCAAATTCCACAGCCTAAATTTGTGGGGCCACCAGACATGGCTGTGGTATCAGGCGGTGCTTGGAGTTTACCCCCTTTATCCTCTGGCTTCAGCCCTGGGATGTTTGAGGTGGTTAGTCTCTTCGCCCCCAGCCCAGTGGGGCCCAGCGATGGGGCAGAGCCAGGCTGAGTGGAGCGGGGAGAGCATCGTCTTGGCCGGGCTAACATGGTGTTGTTCAGTTACTGTTAGCGGGCAAGGGTGAGCTGGTACAGGAGCTGAGGAGCGGTCTCCTCTCCCTGGATTCTGAGGCTCATTCCCCACAAGGGAGAGCTTCTAGAATGTCATTTCTAGGGTTATTTCCCCAAATTACAGTACTCAAAGCATGTTTCCCATTCCCATTTCCTTCTGAGAGCAGTTAAACTCGCTATCATAGCAGCTAAATACACGTCATCAGCCATGAGACGGGACTTCCTACGTGTAGGTGGGCCAACTTAACTCCACCCAGCAACCAGCCACTGGGGGATAATTCGGACAGTTCTAATGCAAAGCAATACTGAAAGTGGGCATACTTCTTACCTAGGAATAAGATACCAATTTTAAATCTAAAATTATCTTAAAACTTCTGGTTAAAGAATAATAGACTCAAGTGAAAATATTTGGAGAACATTGCCCAGAAGAATAAAGAAGTTTTTAAACTAGTAATATTTCCCATCTCCACACCACTTAAAGGACAAGAGTTTTTCTGAAGCTTTTTGTTTCCCAATGGTACGTTTTTGAAAAATGCCTTATAGGCTTACATTTTGAAGTGACCATTGACAAGAACATATTGTAAAGGAAAAGTCTAATTAAAGAGTAATATATGATATACTTGTGTTCCTGTTTTAAAAATTTGTTGAGTAAATTTTTAAGAGGGCAAAATTATACTGTTTAAATCTGTCACTTTTAAAATGTCACATTTGACATCACTTCTAAGCACCATGTAATTTTAAACTTTTAATTGCAGGTAGTGAATCTGAAAGGATTTCTAAGTAAAAATAAATCTACAGTATTGGACTTTGAAATAATGTGATTCGCAAGAGCAAATTATGTGGAACGTTAAGTTCTATAGGTTTACCATGTCCAAATTGAGGATGTTACTGCCTGCCAGCCTTATACAGTGCTTTGTATCTTAGTGTCTTCTAGTTCCTTCGTATTAATTCCATATCAGAATCCCCAAAATGTATATTTTCACAAAAAGTAGGTTATAAACCCGTGTTTCTACTGATCAGCTTTGGTATTATCTCTGGTATCAGTTTTTCTGATTAGTGTGGTCCTTTCTTGAAATTTTCTAGGTGATAATTTTGAGCACAGAAAGTGATCATTTTAAAATATAATCCGGGATATTAACTACAGTCACTATTAATTATTTTCTTCTGGAACATCTACTGTGAAGCATTCAGGAAGCTGTAGAATCTAGTGTTTAAAAAAAAAAAAAAACCCTGGCATGATTAAAACAAGCTGGACCTGTGCTTCCTTTTTAGAAACTTCCAGAAACAGAAATATCCAACCTGAAACACCGAGGAGGGAGGAGACTGTTGCAGTGGCAGCATGGTAGGGCCAATGTCATCTCAAATGTGCTGATACATTGCTGCTCACAATAGTAAGACAAAGCGAGTATGTACATAAAGTATACAGCTACGTAATGTGCGTTAGAGGTCATCTGCAGTTTATCAAGAACAAGTTTATTTAAGATTTGTATGAACAAATAGAAACAGGAATTACTATTGTAAATTTTTTCAAAGCTGTAGACTGAAGTAGTTTTTTTGGAGGGGGCGGTTAGACCTTCTAAAAGACTCTCCTGGATACAAATTTAGGAGAATTTGCTTTCTACCAAGAAAGCTGCATAGCTAAAATGATTCCTTCCCAGTTGGAATTTTACTTAAAAAACACCTAAGAATCTAAATTCCAAGAGGCTCCTTTTTGAGCTGAGGGACAGACATTTTGGAAGTAGAGAGAATGCTGCATTTAGAATCTGAGGATGTGAGGGCGATCTGGCTGCGACATCTAACCCCATTGATCGCCAGGGTTGATTCGGCTGATCTGGCTGGCTAGGCAGGTGTCCCCTTCCTCCCTCAATGCTCCATGTGCATCCTTCCTGAAGCTGCGCACCACCCGGGATAGAGGAGGACCGTTCCTTGGTCAAGGGTATATGAATAGCTGTGCTCCCCTGCTAGAACCTCCAAACAAGCTCTCAAGAATCTGCCTAAGACCCATGTGTGGTGGTACACATACCTGTAATCCTAGCACTCAGAAAGCCGAGGCAGGAGGATGGCTGGGAATTCAAGGCCAGTCTGGGGCTATTGAGTGAGTTCAAGGCCAGCCTGTCGTATATATCGAGTCCTTGTCTCAGAAAACAACAACAAAAAATTTTGGGGGGCCTGAGAAAACATTTATCAAAGCAACACAAGTTTTTCAAAGCCCTGGATACAAGGGCTTCATTTAGCCTATTATTTATAGTTACTTACAGAGAAAAGAGGAAATATTAGAAAGTTCAAAGTTCGTGTGTTTGGAGGTGGGTGGACTTCGGAAAATATTTGAAAGCTCCTTGGATTGTTCAAGTGGTATAATTTTCTGTATATTTCAGGCAGTTCCCAAATTAAAAAAAAAATTGCTATAAAAGTTCACTTCTGTGCTGAATTGAAATGGTACTCTGAGTTGTAACTTTCTTGGTTTGTCCCCCTAAAGGTTACACAAGCCACAGGGGGCCTGAAATGTAGTGGTGGTGCAGAACCACCTTGATATTTTGTACTCCCAAGAATATGGAGGGCAAATTTCCCTCTTCCTTTTTTTACCCTGGTGATGAGATCAGAGCATGAATCTCCCTGCTTCTGCCAGGCATTGGCAACTGAGACTCAGAAACAACTGAAGTCAGATTGGCCAGCGTTTCCGGGGAGACTTTCACAGATGCGAGTATCTCAGCCCTGGGAAAGGGGCAGGGAGGAGTTTGAAGTGAGCACCAGTGCAGCTTGTGAAACCTCCTCTCATGTGGGGCAAGGTAAGGGAGTGTAAATTGGCAAAATACTCCTCTACCTTTCCTCTTGCCACTTGCTTCTCCTGTCTTCTTTAGTATTGTCCAGGGATTGAAGTGGAGGAAGAAGGTACAGGCTAAGCTGGAAGTGTAAGGTTTGCAGCACCCACCTGAGGGGTCGGCAGTGCAAGTCAGATGGTGTTGAGGATAGTGTATCTCTAGGTCACCCATGAGTAGAATTAAGGTCTGCTTGCACATGGTTTCCACCAAATGGTTAGTCCTCTTTACCTGAAAAATTAAAATACTTAGTTTTCAAAAATCTGGGATAAAAATCTAAACATTTTTCAATGTTTTGATGGGTTAAGAAAGGGATAGTAATCATATGCTTTCAGGTGTAGCTTTAACATAAACAAGTACAAATGCACACAGGAAAGGAATAACTGTTTGCGTTTCTACCTGTAGAACTTGTAACAGTAAGTTTTATATAGAGTTCCGAATTTCTGAAAGTCTTGATAAGTGTTTTTGTCATTATTCTTTAACTTCTATTTAATGACTTTATGGTGTGTCAAATAAAAGGACCATTCAAAATATGTGAAACCTCTTGGCTTTGTGCACGGGTAGAGCAGTACAGACACAGCGTGATCTCAGTGTAAGAACCTGCAATTTTAACTGAACTGGTACGCTAATTTTAAGCTGTAAAAAAATGGTGGTTTATTTCACATGTCAAACATGAATACTATGGACATTTAAGTGTACGTGTGTATTTTAAATTTGTACTTAAAACTTGGTGCGGCAAAAATCTACAGAGTTCACTGTCTGGAGGAAATTTACACTGCCAAAGAAATTCAGAAGGCTAGATTATTACTGGGTTAGCGGGAATATGCATCTGTCAAGTCTTAGGTTTTGGGTATATTGATGAGGCTGGTACAGATTTGATGATAACTGGCTTTCCCCTTCCATTTGCTTATTCACCAGATGCGTATTGAACAAATGAGGGAGAAATAGCAATTCAGGTGCTCATTTTTTATAACATGACAGGCCAAATTGCTTCCATATCCTGAGACTATCCAAATTTTTCTATTCTGGAAATGTATGAATGATCACCTGAAATTAGTGAACTACTAAATGAGACAAATCTTTTGTTAATTATATGACATTTATTAATGTCTTAATTTTTAAAAATGTCCTCAAAGCATTTTGGTAAGGTTTGGTATTTTACTGGAATAATTAGTGCAGTCCAATAAATAGTCTGAAAGAAGTAAAAAATACCCTCCAGAAGTGACAAAATTATTTCCAGAACAAATTTAATGAAGACAGGGCTTAAAATAATGTAATACGAGTAAGCCCATGTGAGTCAGACAGAAAGGCAAAGGAGAAAGTATAAAACGCAGTAATCTGAAACCACTGTTTATGGTAGAACTGTAATGGGTTTTATGCACATAGTTTTGGTCTTTGTGGCATAATGGAGAAATGGAGGAAGTAATTGTGTAGGGATGATTCTTAGTATTTTTCAAAAACTTATAATATGGTCTGTTTAGACTATATTAGAATTTTTTACAGTTCTGTACTAAAGGTAATCAGCTTAATTTCTGGTAGAATTGAATTATTATATACTACTCAGTATAGGCATTCTAAGCAAGAGATTGAAAGTGACAGAAATTTGTCAATACCTCATGCTTATTTTAAAAACTCATACAATTAAGCCTTACTCGAAAGACTGATTAGCATAGTCGAGCGGGTGGCACATGCTCGCAATCCCAGCACTCCGGAGACTGAGGCAGGAGGATCTCTATGAGTTTGAGGCCAGCCTGGGCTACATGGTGTGTTCAGTGCAAGACTGTCTCCAAAAAACAAACCAAAAAAAAAAAAAGACTGATTGGCAATGGGCTGATATAATTTTGCTTTTGTGTGTGTGTGTGTTCTAAAGTCATTTTTACATTAAAATATAAAATGTGTAGGTTTTTATCTGTAAGTTTTAAAATGTTACACTTAAAGAGTATTAGCCTGGTGTGTGTTGCTGTAACATAATGCCTGAAACCATATCTTCTGGTTGTGGAGGCAGGTTGAGGGGGCCACAGGTTGAGGGGCTTTGCCGCGTGGTCTTTGGCAGAAGGCGTGTGTGTGTGTGTGTGTGTGTGTGTCCATGTGTGTGTGTGTATGTGTGTGTAACACCCTCCTGAGATGTGGTAATAACATTGATCCACTTTTGAAGGCTCTGCCTCCTGAGCATCCCGCTTCCCAGTAGTACTGCATTGGGGGTGAAGTTCCCCACAGATGAACCTGGGGGACGCAGTCAAGCCATACCATGAAGTATTTTCTGTGAAGTCATCTCAATGTTTTAATTGTACTTAATAGAGGAATATATGATTTCTAATAAAGCTCTTTAGTTCAAATGAAAAATTACGTTGTAACAAACCAGAACTCTGCTCTACACTTCTGTGTTTTATTAGCCGTTTAAAAGACAAGCAACCCAAACGTCATCCATAGTAAATTTAACAAAGCATAGTGAAAAAATATCTATAAAGCAAGTTTATTTAAAACAAAACCAACAAACAAGAACAAAATTTGGAGAAAAATTATGTGAAATATACTTCAAAAAGTTGCCCTATAATTCAAGAAATGCACTGGGAATTCTAACTTTTTGAAATAGTAGAATATTTGTCTAGTATCTTCTAGTTTAAAAAGCAACTTTATGTGCTATTGTTGGAAGATAATATAAAAATGTCTAATCACAAAAGCTTAATTCTTCTAAACTATTGGTTTATAAAGCTGTGTACATTCAATGGGCAAAAGCTTGAATGGCTGAGTATATTATATGTGAAATGAATATATTATAGTCTATTTTTGCCATGAAAATA